AGAAAGAAAGAAAGAAAGAAAGAAAGAAAGAAAGAAAGAAAGAAAGAGAGGGAGGGAGGGAGGGAGGGAGGGAGGGATATAGGAAAGGATGGAATGAAGGAAGGAAAGAGAGAAAGAAGAAAGAGAAAAAGGAAAAAAGAAAGAAGGAAAGAAAGAAAAGAAAAAAGAAAGAAGAGAAAGGAAGGAAGGAAAGAGAGGGAGGGAGGAAGAGGGAGGGAGGAAAGTAGGAAGGAAAGAAAGAAGGAAAAAAGAAAGAAGAAAGAGAGAAGAACAAAAAAGAAGGAAGGCAAAGGAAGAAAGAGAAAGAAAAAGAAAGAGAAAGGAGGAAGGAAGGAAGGAAGATAAACAAGGGGAACCGAATTGCAGCCAATTGCATAACACCTTTCCATTTCCCCCTTCCCGGCGGGCGCCACAATGATGTACATATCAGCTATGCCAAACGCCCCCCCACCTTCCTCTCTACCCTGCTTGGAATGCCAACCGGCAATTTCCCAGCTGGTACATGACGGCCTCCTCCGCTAACCGTCCCCTTGGCTTTCCAGCCCTCCTCCCCCCCCCCTCACCAGGTGGGCAGCTTAAGTCATGCAGCCTCACGGCTCATTCAGAAAATGTTGAATTTCAGGGCCAGGCGCTCGGCCAGCCACGTCAGGCGGCTCCTCCGCAGAAGCCCGTGCCAGACGCTTGCCAGAGAGTTACACAACGGCGGGCTGTTGCCGGCTGCGAGCGCCGCAGTCTCTGAACACCCTCTGACGAGCTGTTGCACCCCGCTGCCTCTCAGCTGCACCCGCACATGGACGGCCACATGCCAGGGGAGTGGGGGCCCACAACGCACCACCAGAGACTCTGACCCCATCCAGGCAGGTGCACGGTTGCGAGGAGCAAGGATGCACAGGGGGACAAAATAACCAGAAATATTTGATTTAAGTTAAACATGTACACAATGCTATAAAAACCCAAACAAGCAACAGGCTGGCTAAGAACTGGAGGGTCGCTTCCATCCCCAGTTCCTCCTTTTAGGGGATGGATGCTTCAAGGGCATTCCCGGACAGGTAGTCCTCGACATACAATGGTCTATTTTTAATGGCCATTGGCAGTCCCTAATGAAGGATTGTACCCCACAAAGCAGTTGAGAGATGCGATTTTGCAAGAATTGGGAGACTCAACTTTCTATTCAAAGCGTATCGCATGGCTTTTGCCAAATACAATTAATCTTTTTAAATATTAACTAGGCCTGGCTAGTCTAGGGAAGAGAAGGACCAAGGGAGACATGAGAGCAGCCTTCCAATATTTGAGGGGCTGCCCCATAGAGGAGGAGGGGGTCAAGCTATTTTGCAAGGCACCTGAAGGCCAGACAAGGAACAATGGATGGAAACAACAAGGAGAGATTCAACCTGGAAATAAGGAGACATTTCCTGACAGGGAGAACAATCAACCCAGGGAACAGAAGTTGCCTTCAGAAGTTGTGGGAGCTTCATCCCTGGAGGCTTTCAAGAAGAGACCGGGCTGCCATCTGTCAGAAATGGTGTAGTGTCTCCTGCTTGGCTGGGGGTTTGGGGGTTTGGGCTAGATGACCTACAAGGTCCCTTCCAATTCTGTTAATTTCAGAATCTAGCTTTAATGGCACACTGATTTTAAATACATTTGCTGTTAGGGCCACTCATATACATATGGTATTCAGTTTTGTTCGGGTATTTTCCCACGTCATTATAGTTGTGCTTTTAAAGTTGAACCCAATACAGAAGCCTGATGATGGCAGATGAGATTCTGCCGAAACGTTGCTACAACTTTAAAAGCACAACTATAATGACGTGGGAAAATACCCTAACAAAGCTGAATACCATACATGTAAGTACCTGCGAAAACTTAAGAAAACAAATATATATGTATGTGTATATACACACACACATACACAACCAAATTTGGAAGGAAAAGAAAAAAACTGTTAATTCTCTTGTAGAATTGCAGTAGAGTTGCCAAGCTGAGGACAAAACCTAGACTTGTTGACATAAGCAACGCCAGTTAAGCTCCAAATTTCCTTTTTTTTTTTTTTAACATACCGAAGAGTGAAAAAGTCTCCAGGGTTTGTGTCAACAACATGTCAACGTCTCAAAGCTGAAGGCCAGAATACCTGCAGATATATGGAATGGCAATTTTGGGAAGATCTGAAGAAGATGCTGCCTTAAGGACCGGTTCAGGTGACCTAGCAAAGCCTTCAGCCTTCAGCTTCAGAGAAAGAAGCTCAAGAAGATGCCTGTCTAATTTCTTGAGCTGTAAAGGAGAGGGGTGAGAATTGTGTTTACAAGGTTGATGTCAGCCTCACAGGGTAAACCAGTCAGGAATCCTAACAAGATGGGTATATCTAGTTTAATGGAAAGAAGGATAAGGGTTGACATGATAGCAGTCTTCCTATAGCTAAGGGGCTGCCCCAAAGAAGAGGGAGTCAAGCTATTCTCCAAAGCTGAAAGCAGGAGAAGAAGCAACGGATGGAAACTAACCAAGGAGAGAAGCAACCTGGAACTAAGGAGAATTTCCTGAAGACAATGAACCAGTGGAACATTATGTTAAGATTTCCCATCATTTGAAAGTGTGGAATTTACGGCGGGTTGAACTTATGGGAAAGTAAATATTACCTGAAGGCCAGACAAGGAATAATGGATGGAAGCTGATCAAGGAGAGATGTAACCTAGAAATAAGGAGAGATTTTTCTGACAGGGAGAACAATGAACCAGTGGAATTATTTGCCTCTAGAAGTTGTGGGTGCTCCATTACTGGAGGTTTTTAGGAAGAGATTGGACAATCCTTTGACTGAAATGGTATAGGGTCTCCTGCTTGAGCACAGGTCCCTTCCAACTCTTCTATTCTATTCTGCTCTTCTCTATTCTATTCTATTCTATTCTATTCTATTCTATTCTATTCCATTCCATTCCATTCCATTCTTTTCTATTCTGCATTCTATTCTACTCTATTCTGTTCTATTCTGCATTCTATTTTACTCTATTCTTTTCTATTCTGCATTTTATTCTACTCTATTCTTTTCTATTCTGCATTCTATTCTATTCAATTCCATTCTTTTCTATTCTGCATTTTATTTTACTCTATTCTTTTCTATTCTGCATTTTATTCTACTCTATTCTGTTCTATTCTGCATTTTATTCTACTCTATTCTGTTCTATTCTGCATTTTATTCTACTCTATTCTTTTCTATTCTGCATTCTATTCTATTCTATTCCATTCTTTTCTATTCTGCATTTTATTCTACTCTATTCTTTTCTATTCTGCATTCTATTCTATTCTATTCCATTCTTTTCTATTCTGCATTCTAGAATATTCTACTCTATTCTGTTCTATTCTGCATTCTATTCTACTCTATTCTGTTCTATTCTGCATTCTATTCTACTCTATTCTACTCTACTCTACTCTATTCTAAATAGAAATAGAAGTCATAAGTCAATGATTATTCTGTTATTCTGTTAAGGTGATTTTATTGAAAAGCTAGATTGACAGTATCTTGCAATCCTGCCTTGGGACTCTTCGGGAAGGGAGGAAGGAAATAAATGGAAATTCTCCCTTATGATTTTTCTTTTCTTTTCCACAAGACAGTTAATACAGCTTCAGAATGACAGTTCTGTGGATCTTCGGACACAAAGAGGAGGGGTTCAACCTATTTTCCAAAACACCAGAAGGCAAGACAAAAAGCAATGGATGGAAACTCATCAAGGAGAGAAGCAACCTGGAATTAAGGAGAAACTTCCTAACAGGGAGCACAATTAGCCAGCGCAACAGCTTGCCTTCAGAAGTTGCGGGTGCTCCATCATTGGAAGTGATTAAGAAGAGCCATTTGTCTGAAATGGAATAGGGTCACCTGCTTGAGCAGAGGGCTGGACTAGAAGACCTCCAAGGTCCCTTCCAACTCTATTCTGATTGATTGACTGAAAGATTTTGCAATCAAGTCCTAACCAGCCTCAACTCAACTCTGTTAGCTGTTGATCCTACTCAAAGTCAGTCAAGTGCTGCCATCTGGTGAGGCAACATGACAAACAGCATCGCATGTTATTTTGTGCAGTTTTTCCTGATTATGAATACCCAGGAGCTGTTTTTCTGTGAAAAAAACAATATTAAACTAAAATCTAAGGCTTCTCTTCTGACGTGTCTTTTCATCACTTTCTCTTCTTCTCTACTTCTTTGTTCTTACCTCTTTCTTCCCATCCTGCCACCCTTATCCTTTTCCTTCAAAATTATAATCTGTCTATCTGGGATTAGAAGTATTTTAGTCTAGTTTTCATTCCAATATTCTATTCTGTTCCATTTTCTATTCTATTCTATATTCTATTCTATTCTATTCCATATTTTCTATTCTTTCTATTAGACTTTATTCTATTCTATTCTATTCTATTCTATTCTATTCTATTCTATTCTA